CTAAACCATATAAATATGCATTTTTATATTTATATGTATATAATATATTTTTATATGAAAAATATATATATTTATACCTACTAAATACAAATAAATACATTTTTAACCTATAAATATGTTACTACAGGAATACATGGGGTTTCAAATGTATATAAATACTAAATACAAGTATATATATTTTTAAAAATATATTTATATTAGTAAAAATATTTTTATACATTTAAAAATATATTAAAAAATAATAATAATAATAATAATAATAATAATAATAATAATAATAATAATAATAATAATAATAATACTAATCAATGTAGGGGTAAATTTGAATATTTTTGAAAAACTTAAGGGTAAATCGGAACATTTTAGAAAATTCAAGGACTTGACTGGCATTAGGTAACCGGTAGGTTACCTGGAAACCGGCTATAAGGGTAAAAGTGAACAAATTAAACAAAACTTCGGACTTTACTGGATCTAAAACACGTCCAAGGGTAAAACTGACATTTTTATGAAAACTTAAGGGCTTTTATGTCATTTTCCCTTTCTAGTTTGCATGTGAACTTAAGTGTTTAAGAATTTTTTTCGACACATGATTTTTTTTATAAACTAGAAAACCCATCAGTAGTATTAGAGTCTAAGTTTTCTATTTGATTGAGCACATAAACAAATCAATCAAATTATGGTTTATGGAAATTAAACCATAAATGCTTAAATTTTAATAATGGTTAGGGTTCTTGAAACCCTAGCCTCTAACCTTGTTTTTGAAATTTTGTGAGGATCCCTTAGGGTTTCTAGTTTCCTTAATTACAATTTTAAATGTCTTAAATTTGGATAATGAAAACTTGGTAACCCTTACCTTTTTCGAAAATTAGAATGGTTAAGAATTAGGATTAATTTTTAATTATTTTTTTAATTGTTAATTGAAGATAATTATTTAATCCATAATAATTTAAATGTAAATTATTTTGTTAATTGTTTAATTGAAAATAATTATTTAGATACCTAATGATTTAAATTAACGTATAACTGGTAAACCATTAATGGTTGAAATTAACTAGTTAGTAATTGTTTAATTCAAAAATTATTTTTAAATCCTAGCATTTTAAAAAGTTTAAAATACACCTTATACTATATATGATTAAATGATAAATATATTATATGTATAAGACAAGTCAGTCAAATAATTAGTAGACCTCATTCACGAAGTCATACTCTAAGGGGGGGGGGGGGTATAAGAAAGCATCGATCCTATAAAATGATCGATGAATGGGTGTCCACTCTCATCCACCGCTCCCTTGTATGGTAGAGGGTTGTTAGCCGAATGGGTTTGATAGGACATAACCTCTAAAAGTATGATACCATAAACTAACAAAACCTTTTATAAATCATAAAGTAATTCATGGAAAGATGGAGCCGTTGGGTGTTCCCATCTGGAAATAAGAAGAGATCACGATGAATTTTATCATGAAGCTACTATAGATATCGCGACAAGTGGATTCGATTTGGGTCATCGTGGATCGATTGACCAAGTGTGTGCATTTCATTCCTATTCAAGAGAGAATCTCTGCAAATAAGTTGGCAGATGTTTATATTCGGAAGGTGGTTGCACATCACGGGGTCCCAATCTAAGTGGTTTTAGATCAGGATGTTTGGTGCACTTCTAGGTTTTGTAAGATAATTCATGAGGAGTTGGGCACTCGTTTACACTTCATCACAACTTTTAATCTACAAAATGATGGTCATAGTGAGTAGACTATCAAGACCTTGGAGGATATGCTTCGGAAATGTGTATTGGATTTTGGTGGTAGTTGGGATACATACCTCCTATTTAGTGGGTATTATTACGACAACAGCTACCAAGCCAATATTGATCAACCTCCTTTTGAGATGTTCTATAGGAAGAAGTGTCGGACCCTGATTTTTTAGAGTGAGTTCCGTTAGCCATTCATTGGTAGCAAAGAGGTGGTGCTCTGAAATAACGAGTTGATCCAGTAGGTACACGAGAAGTTGCAGATTGCATAGAGTCGGTAGAAAAAGTTATGTTAATAGGTGCCGATTGGATTTGGAGTTTTAGGTCGAGGACATGATACTACTGAAGGTGCCCCCTTGGAAAGGTGTCGTCCGATTAAGGAAGTAGGGAAAACTGGGTCCTAGATATATTGGTTATTTTAAGGTTATTGCCAAGGTGGACAGGGTTACATACCGGTTGGAGCTACCCGAGGAGCTTAATCAAATTCACAACACTTTCCACATCTTTTAGTTGTGGAAGTGTTTAGTCAATGATTCTGCAGTGGTGCTATTAGATGATATTCAGGTGGATAAGAGTCTGAACTATATAGAAAGAGACTAGTTGTGATCCTTGATAGAAAGACCAATACCCTGAGAAACAAGGAGGTGTGATTAATGAAGGTGCAATCGCAGCACTAGAAAGGCTCATAATGAACGTGGGAACCCGAGGAGGAGATGAGGGAGCATTATCAAGAGTTATTTATGGAGTCAGACTTTGAGGATGAAGTCTGATTCAAATGGGGGATAACTGTAACACCCGTGTTCCCACGTATTTTCATTTTTGGCTTGGTGTATTAATTTTCTTTCAAAATCGATCCCTACGCATGGCGTACTTGGTATGTACGCAGGGTATACATCTTTAATGAGGGACACAGACTCCATGTAGTGCGCCAGACATAGTTGAGGAATATGCGGGGAATACTTGAGCTGACCCAAACCCTAATTTTTAGGGTTGAAACCCTATTTAAACACCTTAAGACCTTTAAGGCCTCTTCATAACTAGCCTTCATTCTCCTTATTTTTGTCCTTTTGAAACCCTAACCTTTTAGAGGTTTTTTTTGGACCTTTAGAGTGTTCCTGGAGCATTGTGGAAGAAGGATAAGCATACCATTGAGGATTTTTGGGCTTATAGCTTGTAGCTTGTAGATCCAGAGTTTGTTTCACCTTTGCAAGCTTTTGGAGGTATAAAGCTCTCACCTTTATGATTCTTTTGTATAGATTTAGGTTAGTGTGGAGATTTGCATGATTTTGGTCCCATAGTTTTGGTTCTTGTGAGTAAAAGCTGCTTCAGAGATTAGGGTTAGTATTTCTTTATGTTTCTAAGCTTCTTATGTCATAAAAATTGGATCTTGAGGGTTATATTCCTCACATGCATGACTTTTGGTTATTTTGTGAAGTTATGGACCTAGGGTTTGATTATGGGCTCTATTAAGCCATGTAAAAGCTTAAAGTTGTCAAATTTATCAGTTAAGACCATCCCAAGAGTTAGATTTGTGAATTGGACATTTGGACTTTAGGTATTAAGAGCTTAAAAGTGATTTTGGACAATAGAGGGTTATGCATGGCGTAACCTCTGTGTACACGTGGCGTAATGGATTGGCCCCGTATGCCTTTTCATTGGACACCGAGTATGCTGGGCGTAATATAGGAGTACGCATGACGTACTCCCAAAAGTCCATTTGGGCCATTGTTGGGCCTTGTTCCATTTTGGGCATTAGGCCATGTTTAGTTGGATCTAGTCTAGGAAGGGTAAAATAGTTTTTGTCCTTAGTAAGAGAAAATATGATTTGGACATTTAATTATGGGTTATTACCCTAAATAGTAATTAGGTTTGGTTTGGATGTGTTCAATGAGAGGAGCCTTTGTAGCGGCAACGCGTGTGTGATTTAAATATCACCAGATTAAGGTGAGTCTCCTTATAGTATTTTTGGGTCGAAGAAACCAATATCGGCCCATTGATTTATGTTTATAGGATGCTAGTTGTCTATGTGAATCTTGCATGTATTTTATGTATTTGTATGTATACAGGGCGCGACCTGATAAATGTGTTGGGCGGGGCCCATCACATGTTATTGATAGATTTGTACCATGCATGACACATTGTATGTATGTTATGTGGTATTTTGGGAACTCATTAAGCTTTGTGCTTACAGTTTATGTTTAAACATTTTTCAAGTACTTCCGGTTCAAAAGGGAAAGGCCCGACATGATCGCAACACATCCACCAGTGTTCATTATTTTATGATTTTGGGATTGTCCTCTAATTAACTATTTTTTCACATTATCATACTTTGATGGTTTAAAATGAAAGATTGATGGTTTTGGCTGACTTAAAAAAAATTTACTTAGTATTTTTGGGATGTTTCATTATGATCATTGGCACGATACAAATTTTAATACGTATATGAAGTAATATCAAGTTCTGAAATTGAAACATCAACGAATCCAATCTTATTTTTTAAAAACAACAAAATGATCATGGAATGTTTTCACTGATTGAATACAATTCCGTTGAACATACTAGAAACAAGAATGGAATTGGGATTATCGGGAGATCCAATAAAATATGGGCTTGAAGGGGTAATGGATTGAACAATAGTTTCAATTAAATATGATTCTACATTTTAATTGCAAAATGAAGATGATTGCAAAGTAAATTTGATTTTAGAAGAATAGAATTCAATCCAACTTCATTAAACATATTAGAAACGAGAACGAAATTGGGATTAGCGGAAGATTAGACAAACTACGAGCTTAAAGCGGTAATGGATTGAACAATAGTTTCATTTGAATATGATTGTAACATTTTTTAATTGCAGAATGATGATTGCAAATTGAATTTGATTTCAGAAGAAAAGAATTGCAAAAGGAAGATGAATGTGGAATCAAAAAAACTAAAAGATCTACTAAATTGATACCATGTTAGAATGTATGAACTTAAGATTAAAAGAAATGCACATTGAAAGAGTTTTCGGAACCAATACTAATTAAGAAGGATAAGTAATACCCTTTATACCAACATAGTATAAATGAAAAAGTAAAAGAGATAGAGAAAAGTGAGAGGGGAGGTATTGTGCATTCTCACCGTGGATGATCAACAAATACGGTGAAAGATAGAGGGAACGGTGTTTATACCGATTACCCAGGATGCCACATAAGTTCACATAACTCGATATTATAACCTATTACACATTGGATAGCATTATGACCTATAACTTATAACTTATAAGTAGAAGTCTTGTATCATGTATTTATAATAGTTAGTGGATGACCCACTAATATTAAATTTATTATAAAGGAAAAGAAACATGTGCTTTACAACATAAATGTCTATTAGTCAAAAGGGGAAGGGGAGCCATCGCCCATCGGAGTCAAAACGTGCGTGCTGGGAAGCTATTCACGATTCAGTATCACATATTTATACTCAACCTCCTTTCATGTCTTTCTACCTGCGTATTCGTATCGAGAAGAGAGAGACAGACTGTCTTTATCGCTCGTAAGCAGATTGATTCCTCTTAAATCGTCTCTGTTTTCTTCGATCCATACTCCTTTTCCTACTACAAGTCAACTTTTTAGATCTGATTCGTTATTGTATTCTATGATCTAATTGTTTTTGTTTGTGCAGCAGCAGCAGCAGCAGCAGATATATATAAATATATAAATGGCGTCGGACCGGAAAACTTTCGTCTTTTCTGAGGTCTCCAAGCACGACACAGTTGATGACTGTTGGCTAATCATAGCCGGAAAGGTCCGTTATTTTCTGATCTGATTGCTTTCGTCTGATTCTCTACTTTATATTTTTATAATTTTGTAATGTCTGAATTCAAATCGATCATTGTTTGATTTTGAGGTTTGGTAGTTTGTTAAGTTGTTAGCAGCTAGCTTCTGTAATCCGATGGTAGAATTTAAGCGAATCGAGATAAAAATTACAACTCAATTTGAAATCATGGATAACGAAGAGAGAATATATTGATGAATCTTACCTTATCTGATGTTTGTAATGATTTGGTGTTGTTTGAACTTTGAAGAATCCATAACTTATTAAAGTTTATTATAAATCCTTGCTTCAAGTCATCCTTGTCAAGATTTTATCATCATTAGGAGAAATTCTTAAATCATTTATGCTAAAAACCTTTCTGCCATTTTTCTCCTTGGATTACAATCCCAAAATGATACAAATTGTTTTATTGGATCTTGTGCATAATTCCTAGTTTCCTACTAGGATTTTGTAATTAGTAAAGTTTAAACCCCAAATACAACAAATATAAATGAGCCCAATTTTAGACTTACGGGCCCCACTTAATAAGCCCAATAAGCTCTTGACGGGCCGGAATTTTGAATTCCCTCCAATTTTTTTTGTTATATTTACCACCATTTACTTTCAGTTATATCCAGTCAATTTTAATTTTTTTTTTGAAATTTCGCATGACAAATAGTTTGTTCCCCATTTATAACATTAAAAAAATGATTATTTTTAAATACTCCTCACGGAATTTATAAACTGCATCAGGTTTATGATGTAACCACGTTTATGGATGATCACCCTGGTGGACAAGAACCTCTGCTAGCAGTAGTCTGTAAGTTTAATCCATCGATCACTCCAACGTGAGACTAAACAAAAAACAGTTTTTTTAAGCTACATTGTTATATTTCAGGCAAAGATGCGACAAAAGATTTTGAGGTGCTTGGGCACAGTGATGAAGCTAAAGAAATGATGAAAAAATATTGTATAGGTGATGTTGACCAGTCAACTGTTCCTTTGGATCATACAACCAATCCAACTATTGATTATAGCTACAGGGCAGAAGGGAGGGGTCTAGGATCATCTGGCAAATTATTACAATTTTTAGTGCCTTTTGTGATAGTTGGGTTGGCTTTCATTATTAAAATCTACACCAAACAAACTTCTGCTTGATGGGTCAAGAATCATATGTTTATTCAATTACAGTTGGGCGTTTGCCCAACAATTTATATAAGTGATATGTATTTCTAAACATTTTATGATTTACTTCTAGAATGATGTATTTGTTTTTAAATGGCATGCCACCTCAAAAGATTGTAGTTTCAAGGGTAAAGTGAACCCGGAAAAAACTAAAAAATCATAACCCAAAATCAAACTGATTTGAAATACGGATGATTTGGTTTTAATTTAAAAAAACAATAACTTAGATTCGGTATGGTTTCTTTATTTAAAGAAACCAAAAATAATAACAAAAATGGCATTCACAAGATCCAAATGATCACCATTAGACAATCTTGATGTGTTGGAAATTTAAAAGGAGATAGCAAATTGGTAATTCCTTTGTCTTTTAAAACTGTAAGCTTGTTTTTTCATCATTACATTGTAAAAAATGGTAGGGCCAAATGTGGACGCGAAGTTCACAAAGTGATGTGATGTAGGCGCAATTTGCATCATTTCCACAAGCTAAATAACTTTTATTTTAGTGGGTGAAAGATCGGTTTGGACCAATCCAATAAAATGAACCATTTGTCAACAATTTGACATTATCTAAGAGATATATAGTAGATATATCTCGTGGCCATGATGACCTCCAAAGTCCCATGACTGCCATATGGCATGCTATGATTGATTGGTATCTTTAGGTTATACGCAATGCTTGATTTTCACAACCATTCAAGAAATTTGAGCATCATCGGAAGAAAGAAGAAGGATAGAGTTTTGCTAGTTCATATGTTAGGTTGATCTAGCATTCGAAGTAGCATTGAGCTTATCAGAACACTTCTTCTAGTTGTTCTGCTAGTTTGATCTAGTAGCAACCGAACTAGCATTAAACTGATCAGAACACTTCTACTACTTTGTCCGCTAAATGCCTGCTACTCCAATCTAACAATTTGGCACTATAGGTTTACTTAGTTTTGTGACATAAACTAGCATCAGAAAGATGGTGTTTGGCTGATGTAAAATTTGCAATTTTTAGGTATGTTCCTTTCAATCCTTAGTTGTAAATTCTTTTCAGTTTGATCCCTATCCGAGTAAGTTGGGCGTACTCTATGAGTACTTTGGGCATACTAGCTCGATGGTTGGAGACGGAGGCACCCACGTATGTTGGGTGTACGCTCATCAGGGGAAAATCCCAATTTTTAGGGTTTATCACCTATTTAATCAACTTATGTTGCTTTGGGAGTATCTTATCATCAACATCCACCAAAAAATTGTCCTTCTAGCTAACCCTAATCTTAGAGAGTGCATCTTGAGCTTATTTGTGTGTTTTGGTGGTATTCTTGAAGAAGAATAATAAGAAGGTGGTGGGAGGATTTTGGAGCTTGAAAGAAGTTTGGATCTGGGATTCTCACCTTGCTAGCAACCTTTAAGAGGTAAAAAGCTCCTAGCTTTATCATCTTTTCTTATAGATTTAGTTACTTCTTCATTTAGGGCATTTTTGGTCCCAACCTTGGTGATTCTTGATCATGGCATACTCTTAACCAAATAAGTCGTCCTTTCATACCCATTGAAGGGTCTTAAGTCATAAAAATGAGATATTGATGCTTAGTTCTTCCCCATGCATACTCTAGAATGCCTTTATGGAGTAAGAAGTTAGGATTGTTGGTATTAAGCACTTAATGGACATCCAAAGTCATAAAGTTCGAAACTTTATGACTCTCAATGGTATTTTGGCCTTGGATCTATAATTGGAACGTAAGAGCTTGATATATTAAGCTCTTAGTATGGAAAAATGGACCTTGGTGCGTACGCTATGTGTACGGGGTTAATGGCCTTATCCCGGTCTAGGATCGTGTACGCCCATCGTACAAGCTGAGTACGCCCCGCGTACTCAACTGAGTTGACTCGTTGACTTTGACCTTTGACCACAGTATTGACCAAGTTTAACTTAGGGGTATTTTGGGTATTTTGAGTTGTTAATTAAGATTAGGTCCTTAGTATTGGTTAGGTGATCGTTGAACCAGTTTTTGGAGTCGTTCTCGGCCTTGTGAATTTTTCCTATTCTTGTCTGACTGCGAGGTGAGTTATTCCCAGTGGCGGAGCCAGGGTCAACGTAAAGGGGTATCCCGAACCAATGGGTTCGGTTTCTCGGTTTTTCAGTTTTCCAAACTTAGTTTTGGGCTTAAACCCAAACCCATTCAAAGGTTTAACTTGTTGAGAATTTAAAATCTTGTGTTGCTTATATAACATATGTATAGGGGCTATTTTTCATTTTATTGCCGATGTGGGACAATTTTAGAATTATAAGAAATAAGAAAGAAGTTGAAGGGATATAGGATAGATACTGATAAACAAAAAGTTAACATATGTCAAGCCCAAGATTCGAACTTCCAACCTCCGAAAAACACCATATCATCATAACCAACTGAACCAACTAGAGCTTTTGTTATTTTTTGACAAAACACATTTATATTAAGGAATGCAAAATAAACAAAATTTTTCGGAAAAATTTATACTACTAAAATTTTTTTGAGGAGCATCCCGGGATACCCCGGGATCCAATGTAGATCCGCCAATGGTTATTCCTCATTATACTTGGAGGTTGAAGGCACCTATGCCGACCCGATAGATTAGGTAACATGGTTTGAAGGATATTGATATGCTATAGTGACTTGTTAGATCTGTATGATTAACTGTGCTAGATGTTTATATATATATATATAACGTCCCAAAATTAATGAGGTAAAAATTTCATTTTTAATTCAAACAAAACATTAATTATCTTTAAGCCAAACATTCATTATCCTTTTCTACATGTTTAAAAGTATTTTATATGAAAAGCAGTTATCATAGTACAATTCCAAAATCATTCTAATGCGGAACATGGGTGGATGCGCTGCGATCAAATCGGACCCTTTCCTTTCAAACTGGAAGTACCTGAAACATAAACTACAAACCGTAAGCATAAAGCTTAGTGAGTCCACCCAAAATCCCACATACTAAATAAATTGTTGTAGCATGGAAATGTTATACAAATTATGAGTGATAGTTAGGTTCTTTGTAACGACCCAATTTTTTTACAAAGAAAATTTTCATTTTTCAATAATCAAACCATTTGCATAAACCATAAAATCCCAAAACATCTATTTTCAAATTCACATTCATTACACCATTATCTTCTTTTAAAAACATTTGAGTGTCCCAAAACACATTAGTAAAGGAGAGATAGAGTGCACGCTGCACCATCACGCCTTGCCCTTGCCATTGGGCTTAGATGTACCTGAAACAAATCCACAAACGGTAAGCTTGAAACTTAATGAGTTCCCCAGAGCACACCCACACAAACACGTATAACATAACATACTAGCTAAACAGCTAACCAAAACACATAAACCATGCATGCCAATCACATGAGGAAGCCCTATAAACCCTCCAGGGTCTTACTCCGGGTGCCATGGGAAACCCCACACGATCTTAGCCCAATGCCTCGGGAACCCCCGAGGTCTTTGACCTTGGAAGCCAAGGAAACCCTCCAAGGTCTTACACCTAAGTGCCTCAGGAACCCCCTGAGGTCTTTCATACAAACACAATCCCTGCTCACGTGGCCCGACTGACCATAGGTGTAACACACTATGCCCTGACCCCTACATGCTCCTCCATGCGATCTCCCACACTTTGCACACCGACCCCGACCCTGCTGGCCCCTACCCGAAGAATCAGAGGTCTTAGGCTTCTTAGCCCGAGCCCTTGCTGCCTGTAACTGCTCAGTCTTCCACTTCATACGGGACTCCAACTACATCTCCCTCTCACGGGCCTTCTCCACCATATCATTCAGGGTTTTGCACCCCGTAAAGCTTACAAACTCCTGAATATCATTCCTCAACATTGAATGATATCGGGTCCACCTCATCTCCTCATCAGTAGCATACTATGTAATCAATAAAGCTCATTCCCAAAACTTGGCGCTGATCTCCGCCACAGTCTCGGTGGTCTGCTGCAACCCATGAAACTCATGCACCAGTCCTTGCACCTCAATGGGTAATCGTCGTACAAACTCGGCTCATGACATCTCAGTCACTCCGGCTGGCCCTTCTTGTCTAGTAACCTCGCCCCACCAATTTCGGAACCTATCCCTCAGCATACAAGAAGCAAACCTAACATTTTCCGCATCCGGGTAGGAACTCATGCGCTGGGCATTCTCAATATCCGTTATCCAGCATCGACTAACTATGGGGTCCCTGGCCCTGAAAAACTCTGGCACCCCGCACACCTTGAACTCTCGAAACGAGGGAGTTCGGGCCCCGACCTAGCCCGCAACAATCTTAGCCCGAAATGATCTGAGTCTCTCCTCCATGAGATCCATAATACCCTCCTTAACCGTCCGAAAGATGATTGGGGTCGCATCAAGGATGCCCCTGGTAACCTCAGCCGTAATGAGCTCGTGCAGCCTCTTATCAATGACATCGGTAGTGTCTCCTGATCCCACCCCGGATCCAGATCCCGATCCTTATCCCCCAGCTCCAAATCGTGTCACCACCATGCTGAACTGAAATATAATAAATTGCAGTGATCAGGATTACTATATAAGGGATCTTCCCACACCGGTCCTCCTTGAAGTCATCAGATCCAACATTGGTTTGGGTACATGTCCTGTGCTTCCAGTAGTACGGGCCTAATACTACCTTCCACACCTATATGTACCTTTCCCCACTGCTCTACCTGATAAATTCAATTCGTCCCTCAACCAAACCATATTCCCCAACTACCCCGCATACTAATCTCAGGCTGACCTAAGATTTTCCCTGTTCATATCAATTATACCAATCATACCAGGTTGCCTTAATGCATGCAAATTGTACACATAAAGGATCAAATAGACTTTCGAATAAAAGACTCTACCCTAGGACCCCAACCATACAAGGAACAAGAAGTAAGGACAAATCAATCATTTTGAGACTAAAAGCTCCTAACCGTATACAGTTTTAAAAACATACACATAGCAAGTTTCCACATAATCAATTAGACTCGAACATCAGTATAACATGGATAACACATTTAGGAACTACTTACTTGGCTCGGCTGATCACGCGCGTTGTACTCTTATCTTTTCATTTTTAGGAAGAAAACTTTTGTGTTATTTTTGAAAACAATTTTACCATTTCCTTA